TGCTAACATGCCGTCGAGGTGACGGACTTCATTTCTGCAGGCAAATGCCGGCTTTTGGCGGTTGCTTTTACCATTTTCTGCCAGCCGGTGTGTGCAGCGCTGACCGTGGCTGTCAAAGCCGCTGCCAGCAAGTCTCTGCACGGAGCAGGTAGAGGTGTGGAAGGAGCCACCAGGGAAGGAGAGGGAGAAGGATGGGAGCGGACCCATCAAAGCCAGAGAGTAAACAGCCGGCATGGTTATTACCTCAGAACATAAGGCTTGCTGTAGCGTGACAGGTTTAGACAGTATGCCCAAAGTTTTTTCAAACCCTGACAGGACAGACACGCAGAAACCCGGGAGATCGGAGCCTCGGCACGGTCCCTCCTGCCACCCGAAACGCGCTCATGCAGCTGGATGCTCTGGCTCTTTGCCGTGGCGTCTCACCACGGCGGGGCTTTGCTTTGCTTCACGAAAGACACGTCAAAGTGAGCTTGATCCTATCGGCAGGCCACGCGTGGGAAGAGTGAACGCTTTTCAGAGGGGAAAGGAAAAAAAAAGGTTGTGAAGTGTAAGGTCTGTTAGAAAGCAGATGCAAACTTTCCTTGCTTAATTTGGCCAAGGCACCAAAACAAATACTGTATCAGAGTACTGTTTACTTTCAGGTCTTTGGGCAGGTTTATGTGTTTGTCTAATTAAAAACCCAAATGAAACATACGTAATATAGGCACATAAATCATCAGCTTTCCCCTCCTTTGTGAGTGTTATATTTCTGAATTTGTTTTGGGCTTTGGGAGTTAATGCTGTGCTACTTAGTAGTGGCAAGCCTTTGGTTAAACGTGTCTCAGAGACCAGATGTGGAAACATCCAGCTAGTGTCAACAAGTGTAGGGTTAGCCCAGAGAGACATTGGACCTGTCATTTGTGCAGCTGCTGCTGCAGCTTTCGGGCACCGTAAGGTTCAGCAAAGCCCCTGCTCTTCAGGGAGCAGCAACAGGATGGATCATCCAAATAAGAGTGAACGTGAAGAGTCAATAAAGTGTCAGAACTGGCAAGTGGCAGCTAACATAGATGCCAAGGTTTTGATCTTGTTCCTGATCACCAAATACAGCTTTTCACCCTCTCTCCCAGAAGTTTTAAATGTGTAGAAAAATGGCGACAGTTTTTATTATATAAATGATATTGAATTAGTCCATTTGAAAACCCATGCTCATTTTTTTTCTGGGTTTTCTGCTGAGAAGCCCATGATTTTCCTCGACAGAGGGCTGCTGACCCCAAAGCTTTGCCATTGCCTGGTGTTTGAGCATTGCAGTCATTATTAACCTGTTTTGTCGCTTTTCCCTACGAGGCGTATTTGTTCAGAGGGCTGGGGATTGTTTAGGAAGTTATTGCCAGTCCTCAGATGTTTGTGCTTTCTGGGGGCGGAGGGAGGGACAACTGCTGCTATCACAAGCTCGTTACACACTGTAAGGAAGGACATGAAGCAGCAAGTTTTTAAAGTAGTATTAATCTCTTCTGTGGTTTCAGAACGCCGCTGGGAGCCTCCCTGGATGAGCAAAGCAATCCTCTGTTGAAGGGTAAGGAAAGGCTTTACCTACTGAAATCTCTTTTGTTGGGAACTGTGCTTTCGTGGATGGTCACCTGAGACCTGAGACCTCGGCTCTTTAGCAGCGGCATGAACCACAGCCTAGTTGGCGTTGCTGAGTTATTCTCACTGTGAAGCAGCTGTGCCCGAGAAAATGAAGGAGGAAAAGATCCTGAATAAGTCTGGAGAGTTTAGTAAAAAAAACCCCAAATGTGCAGAATGGGGAGGTTGTAATTTCCTCTCCGAGCTGGTGAGCATTAGGCAGTCTTTGCCTCTAATAATTCTGGCTGCCACACCTGAAAATTTTACTATCTGAGCAGGTCTGAATACTGAAGTTCAAAGTACAGCGAGAATGTGCAGGTAGTGACAGGGTGCAGAGGAATTAGCTGCTGTGCCTGGGCTCTTCGCTTCAACTCTTAATCCGGTACAGGGAGAGAGAGGGCAATGCCTAAGCTGGACTCAGGATCTCCCTGGTAAGATGTCTGGAGGATAGATAGCGCAGCAGCGGGAGGCACCGATGCCTTGGGTGGTACTTCCAGGTTCCCACTTGCAATTAATTTGCATGGAGGTTGACTCGGGGATGTTTCTGAACACAAAACTAAAGCCACGTTGTTGTTGTTCTCTTTCAAAATAATTTTTCTGTGTTCTCAAATGTAACTTCTCACTTCTTAGTGCATTTTTAGTGTATGAGTAATACAAGGATTGTAAATATAGTCTGGTTATATCCTGTTGTATCAACTGAAGTGTCTTGCTGATATCTTTAGTTAAGCTGTTGCAAAGAAAAATGCAGAATTCTAGTTGTTGAACTGCTAACTGTGTGTTTTCAGGCATGCTGGTGAGAAATGGAGGAAGTTTTGAAGATGACTTATCCCTGGGAGCTGAAGGTGGGTGTGGCAGGATTATGACTCTTTTTCAAGAAAAAAAAAAAAGTTCAGTCATCTGATTTTTATTTTGAAAGACAGCATTTCCCTTTTGGTCAAAGGCAGTTGATAAAGCTGGCCAGAAAACCAGCATGAAGCACGCAGAAAAATGCAGGAAGATTTGCTTTTTGAGTTTATTAGACTATCACTGGTGTTAAACATTCTGGTCTAACCCAAAGGTCAGAGGCAGCCCTGAATTTGCTTCTGGCTTCTCATCGTAACGCCCGCAGCGGCAGCACAGCTTGGAGCACTCACTGAGGCTGAGAAAGTGGATTCTCCTACTTGCTCTTCTTGTCCATGGGCTCCTTTTGGCAGCCGTGCATGCCCCTCTTCCACTGAATCCCTTGGGAGCGGCATGTGCAGCCTTTTGAAAGGAAGAATGAAATTCTGTCAGCCAAGAGGCAAACCCATTAAGGGCTAAGTGCTTTTAAAAATGAAAAGCACCAAAGCCAAGTAAGTATTTTGATCAGCCATGATAGACACTTCACTGTCGCTAGCTGCTTGACTTTTCTTTCCCTTCTCTTTTTTAAGGGGAAGGAGATGTGGCTGCTTATGGTAGACTTCTTTATTAAAAAAAGACTTTTAGGCTCTCTGTTGATCATGGATTAGAGGTGTCCATAAGCAAACGAACAAACAAGAGCACTTTGGATCCTGTTCTAAGAGCAGCATCCTGAAATAAAATAGCAAAGAACGGTCTCACAAACTGGGTCCTGGGGTTATCTGCATGATGGGGGATATAAGACAGTATCTGTTTTCAGTGTTTAAACAAAAAAAAGGGGAGGGGGGGCAAAGCCACTCCCCTCCTCCAGCTTTTAATGTGTTGGTTTTTTTTTTTTATGAACGATGGCTTTTGCAAAATGTCATAGAACATGTATAGTAGAAAGCCCTTTTTTTTCCACAGCACTGTTGCCAGTGGTATCAAAGTAGTGGGACAGGGCCTGGAGGAAGGAAATATCTTTAATTTTTAAAGATTCAAGACTTCTAAGGAAAACAGTTGATCTGATAATGACCTTGATCTGATAATGACAGAGAAGCAGTAAATGAGTCCCTTACTGCAGTAGATTAAATAGCATTACATTTTCTTCCTGACAGTCTTTTTTTGCTTGTTAGATTGCCTGCAGTACAAAGATTTAATCAGAAAAGTTTCTTTGTAATGATCATCCAAGCTCTGAGCATATGACCAAGAATACGAGTCAGTACATTTTAAAACATCATGTCACTTTTTTCTTTTCCTTTTTTTCCCCTTATCATTCCCAAGGATTTCTGATTCTGATGAGCCTTTAGCACGATTTAGGCAGAAGGTCCTTTCCCTCCTCAGATGACAAAGGTCCCAATACAAGAATCGCTGTTTGATTTTCCTGGGTAAGGACACGGGTGTTCCTGCAGGGCTTTGCTTCCCATCCAAGAACAAGGGGACAACAGAGCCGCTTGGCGCAGCGCTGCGTGCCCTGCCAGACAGCCAGCCCCTTGAGGCTGGTATGAATGGCCTGCCCTTGTGCATCCGTGACTGCCTGAATCCAGATACAAGCCAGAGCCCTGTGGGAATGGTACGGAGGGCATCGGGCAGGGTCCCGTAACCCCAGCCCTCTACTGAGCTCTTAAAACCCGTGGTTTAGCTGTTCCAACTAGTCACCAGCTAATCCGTATAGACAGGCTACTCTCATATGATATGCAATAATATTAAAAAAAAAAAAAAAGAGATGCGCTTCCTGCATTTTGTATACATGTAATTTTCTTTGTGATGCCTCTGAAAAGAGAGGGGTGCTGAGGTTTCCGTGCTTTGCCTGCTGTTGCTGACTTTCCCCCGCTGGCACGACGAGTCGAGATGCAGGGTTTTCCTGGCAGCACGTTTGACGTGACTTTGCTCTTTTCGTAGCTGATTCCGAGGGCTGCTACAACATACGCACGCTCCTTGCCTGCCTCCCGGGGCAAGTTTGTTAATGTTGAGTTGCCTTTTTGGGGAACCCGTACTTTAAGGCTGGGGCTCGACTCTCTTGGCTTGGCAGGGTGTTGAATTTCTGAAAGAATAACGCTGCCTGGGGTGTTCCTGCATGGAGCTGGGCCGATCCAGCTGCCGAAAGCGCTGACTTCCCTCTTGGAGGCTGGTGTCCCGGTGCTCGGTACCCGGCGGCTGACCCCCCTCCAGAGCCCTCTCCATTCTGAATGTGGCCGCTGGTGCCGCCGGCACCGCAGGCTTCGCCGAGCTCTCGTCCGTGGGTCGCACAGCTCCGGCTGCTGGGGCCCTGCCCCGCTTTGAGAGCAGACCGTGCTGACGTGAAGACTAACGAATACAGCCTCAGTACCTGGCCGTGGGGCCAGCTGCCTTTCCTACTTTACTTTCCCAACCGGAGCGATCCTCACGTGCCCGCTTCTCCTCCTCCCCTTCCCGCCCGGGAGCAGCCCTGCAGCTGGTAATCGCTCTCCAATTGCGTAGCCATAAATGCTTTATATAACAATTATTAGCTTACCTCGTGTTAAATTTCAGCTTAATATGATTAATGGCAGTATGCAAACACGTGTCCGTGTGAGATTTTATTTTAAACAGAGCCTGAATAAACCAGATCATCTTTATATCAGCCGTATACTAGAAACCTTTGACAACCACATTCATATGGGAAGAGAAAAATCTGGCTTATTGGTAAACGTACCGGCTGCCTGCTTCTTCCTTGTGGGAAGCGTAATTCTGAAGAGGTCTGTGTGTAACTTCTGATTGTTTCTCTACAGCTAATCATCTGCGGAGTGATACCCAAATGGAAACATGGTAAACATCTTTTTTGTGTTCGTTTACTTCAGAGAAATATTTATACTGGAGGGTGGGAGGGAGAGGGGGTAGTGGAAGTCGTGGGGGCTACCTCAGAGCTAAAGCTCTTCTGGTCATGTCTGTTTATGTGAGAGGGAAGAAGATTCAGATAACACAGAAAAAATCTTCACTAGAAGACATGGGAGAAAAAAAAAAAGGCAGGTTTTTATTCTTCCAGCAGACGTGACGTAGATTTTGGGGTAGCAGGAGGAAAACAGAGAAATGACAAATGTAAGTAACTTAGCATAATTTGCATTCTTTGCCTCACTGATCCCTCGCTATTTCAGAAATTACAAGGGAAAATTAGTTTTGCCTTTCAGAGCAGATAACCTTTGGTAGTGGGGAAAAGAAAGACTTTGAGAGAGGAGAGGCTCCTGTTTTACAGGAGAGCTTCTAAATAAAATGTGCTGAAACTAAAACCCTTTTGAGACATCAGCAAATACCCGCGCAGCCTGTGTGGGCAGCATCCTTGCTACTCCTCCTGAGCTGGGCTCCACAAATGTGCGTTTAGGTGAATCCTCTGTCTTTATTGGTTTCTTGGTGGTTGTTCTGCTCTGTGTGTGCTAGGATTTGTACGGTGAAATTTACCCTGGGAAGGTTAGTCCCCCAGAGAGATTGGCAGTGACAGTATGTTTAAGCCCAAGGTGCCACCTAAATGCTGAGGTGGCTTCTCCAGATGCAGGGAGGAAATAGTTTGGGACTGGGAAAGAAACTGGCCGGCAGTCTGGCTTGGAGCTCGTCTTGCTCCCTTTCCTCCAGCCTGGAGCCTCTTCAGCTTCCCCAGCCGCTGCCGGGGCGGCTCGCAGCCTTGCGCGGGTGGCAGCCAAGGGTGAGGGGGAGCCGGCTACCCGAGGCGTGGAGCGGTGGCCCTGCCGGAGGAGGCAGCGGCACGGGGAAGGGCAGGGAAAGGCAGGAGAGAGCAGCTCACCCGAGGCTGGGCTTCCTCACTGGAGGAGGGTGGGATCGGGAGGGTGCGGCAGCAAGGGGAGATCAGGGATATGTTTATTCAGCTTGCATTTGCCTTCAGATTCTTACCGGCTACACAAATTTTTACTGAGGCGTCCCAGGATTTGCTTTTGTTACTGTATTTCAATAAATGACATGGCTAATATAAACCAGATAACACTGAAGGGGAAAAGAGAAATTCAGCGGCGCTGGAGGCTTAGCTCTCCTCCGAGACGGAGAATCGCGTCCCTGAACGAAAGGGGTTTATCACAGGGGTCTTCTCCGTTTGTGTTGACAGCAATGGTGTGCTGGCAAAGGAGAGGAGGCTGCAGTTCCACCAGAAGGGTAGAAGTATGAACTCCACTGGGTCTGGAAAAAGCAGTGCGACTGTGTCAAGGTAAAAGAGTACTTTGCTTTGAAGGTCATGGCACAGTTGAGTGGAATTTGGCTGTGTTTTGCTGGCAAAACTCACTACTTCTGTTCCTCAGTTAAATGGACCTGGCTTGATTTATGTGCATTGTTGTGTTTAGTAGCAGAGAAGGGAATTTTCATTTGGCTGCTTGAAAAACTGCTATTTGTTTTCAGTTGTGGTTTGCAGTAAATACTAACAAATGGGCCTAAATGTTAGAAACGTCTGAAATTTTAATGATAATTTAAAATCGGAGCTCTGCAGAATAAGGGCTGACTTTATAAATTACAGGATTGGATCTGAGATGTGTCTGAACCAATGTCTCTGGTGATGGGAACCAAAACTTCAGGTGCAGAGGTCTCCACAATTATTTCCTCAAGCACACTGAGCTGTAGAAGTCGAAAGTTGAATAGACCAAGCTGGCTACTGGGCTGAATTAGCAGCTGGACAGAAGGGACTGGGTCTTTAAAGGAGACAAGTAGTAAATATCTTTTCATCTGTCTAGTGTTTCTGAATTACTGGAGCTTTATGAGGAAGATCCTGAAGAAGTGCTCTATAACCTTGGGTTTGGAAGAGATGAACCAGATATTGCTTCAAAAATTCCAGCAAGATTTTTTAATTCATCATCATTTGCTAGAGGAATAGATATCAAAGTATTTTTGAATGCCCAAATACAACGCATGGAAGTGGAAAATCCAAACTTTGCCTTAACAAGTAAGTATGTCTTTGAAGCAAAGTTTATTTTAAAGTTTTTTAACTATGTAAACAACCCTAAAAGAAGGTTGTTTCTAATATTCTGGCAAATGCCCATTGCAGCCCGAAGGCCAAATTCTATTCGGAATCTATTATAAAACTCTTGCTTGGTCTTAAATATGGCAAGAGGTGACCATCAGCGTTGTACACCTTGGGGTGAGGGGAAGGGGTTTATAGTGGGGGAGGGCAATGAAAGGCATCCCGTAAGATATATTGCCTACTGGTTTGTATCATTCCTGTTTCTTGCTCCTAAGCTTGTCTTCTGTTGTAGCTGTAGAGCACTGAAATAAATAGCAATATCCATCTTTTTCATATGTACTTCAGTATCCGGGTGGGATTTTTGAAAGCTGTCAGCAGCGACCTACTTCTGTAGTTGTTAAAATCTGAGCCAGTATTTCTATTGACTTGGACAGGAGCTTTGTTAGGTCAATAATGAGCGTTTCTGAAATGAGGGCATAGCTGAAATGCCCTGTTGTGCTTGTAGATGGAGAAAGTAATGCCAGTAACCCTTTTCTTCTTAGCATTTTGTAAATTAACTTGCACTTGCCTACCTGTGTGTCCTCACACATTTAGCAAACACTCTTGCAAAGGTTTTTTTCCATTTCTCCCTACTGTGTGGCATCACTTTCATGTTACAGGGCTAGGCAGTGTTCAGTCAACCTTTGGGACCCTTGGTACAAGTAGGAGGAGATTTGGGGCGGGCAGAGGTTATGATGAAAGTTCCTCCTTCAGTTATGAACAAAGAGGTGTCTCTTGAATTCAAACCATAGTGTAGAGACAGATGAACAATTCTGGAATGTGATGACAGCAAACGTCCTCTTAAACTGTGCCTTACGTTTCGTTCTTGTGCAGGTCGTTTTCGTCAGATTGAAGTGCTTACTACTGTGGCCAATGCTTTTTCTTCTTTGTATTCTCAAGTCTCTGGGACTCCTTTGCAGAAAATTGGTAGTATGAATTCAGTGTCTTCCAGCAAAGAGGCATCCAGCCCTCCCCCTTTAAATCGCAGCAATACAGCCAGTCGGTTAATGAAGACCTTGTCAAAGCTCAATCTGTGCGGCACACAGCAAGCCGA